AGCCCCATCCTCATCCCAGTCCCAGCCCCATCCTGTCCCAAACTCCATCCCCATTCCCAGTTCCATCCCCATTGTCATCCCCATCACATCCCATGCCCATCCTCATCCCATCCCATCCCAATCTCTGTCCCCATTCCCAGTTCCATCCCCATCCTCATCCTATCCCCATCCTCATCCTATCCCCATCCTCATCCTATCCCCATCCTCATCCTATCCCCATCCTCATCCTATCCCCATCCTCATCCTATCCCCATCCTCATCCTATCCCCATCCTCATCCTATCCCCATCCTCATCCTATCCCCATCCTCATCCTATCCCCATCCTCATCCTATCCCCATCCTCATCCTATCCCCATCCTCATCCTATCCCCATCCTCATCCTATCCCCATCCTCATCCTATCCCCATCCTCATCCTATCCCCATCCTCATCCTATCCCCATCCTCATCCTATCCCCATCCTCATCCTATCCCCATCCTCATCCTATCCCCATCCTCATCCTATCCCCATCCTCATCCTATCCCCATCCTCATCCTATCCCCATCCTCATCCTATCCCCATCCTCATCCTATCCCCATCCTCATCCTATCCCCATCCTCATCCTATCCCCATCCTCATCCTATCCCCATCCTCATCCTATCCCCATCCTCATCCTATCCCCATCCTCATCCTATCCCCATCCTCATCCTATCCCCATCCTCATCCTATCCCCATCCTCATCCTATCCCCATCCTCATCCTATCCCCATCCTCATCCTATCCCCATCCTCATCCTATCCCCATCCTCATCCTATCCCCATCCTCATCCTATCTCCATCCCATCCCAATCTCCATCTCCATCCCATCTCCATCCCATCCCCATCCTCATCCCTTCTCCATCCCATCCCAATCCCATCCCCATCCCATCCTCATCCCCATCTCCATCCTCATCCTATCTCCATCCTCATCCTGTCTCCATCCCATCCCATCCCACCCCATCCCATCCCATCCCCATCCCGTCTCCATCCTCATCCTACCTCCATCCCATCCCAATCTCCAGCCCCATCCCAGCCCCATCTCATCCCAATCTCTGTCCCCATTCCCAGTTCCATCCCCATCGTCATCCCCAACCTGTCCCCATCCCATCCCAATCCCATCCCCATCCTCATCCCTTCTCCATCCCATCCCCATCTTATCTCCATCCCATCCCTGTCCCATCCCATCTCCATCCCAGCCCCATCTCATCCCAATCTCTGTCCCCATTCCCAGTTCCATCCCCATCGTCATCCCCAACCTGTCCCCATCCCATCCCAATCCCATCCCCATCCTCATCCCTTCTCCATCCCATCCCCATCTTATCTCCATCCTTTCCCTGTCCCATCCCCATTCCATCTCCATCCCAGCTCCATCCTCATCCCCATCATCATCCCCACCCTGTCCCCATCCCAGTCCCATCCCCATCCCATCTCCATCCTCATCCTATCTCCATCCCATCCCAATCTCCATCTCCATCCCATCTCCATCCCATCCCCATCCCCATCCCATCCCATCCCATCCCCATGCCCATGCCCATGCCCATGCCCATCCCCATCCCCATCCCCATCCCATCTGCATCCCATCCCCACCTCCATCCCATCATTGTCCCCATCCCTGGCCCCATCCTGTCACCCACCTGTTGAGGCCCCGCACCATGTAGGACTGGAGGTCAACGGAGCTGTGGGGGCAGAGAGCGGGTGACCACAGGGATCCGCGGCGGGGGGAGACACCCCAGGTGAGACCGAGGGCCACCGGGGTGACATGGGGTGAGGGACACCAAGGTGACATGGGTGTGCACAGTGGGGGAGACACAGGGATGTGGGAATGGCATGAGGATGTGGAGAGACCACGGGGATGGAGGGACCATGGGGACGTGGAGGTGACATGAGGGTGTGGGGGTATCCTGGGGACGTAGGGGTACCACAAGGGTGTGGGGGTACCATGGGGATGGATGGACCATGGGGATCTGGGGGTACCATGGGGATGGAGAGACCACAGGGATGGAGGGATCATGGGGACATGGGGGTGCCATGAGGGTGTGGGGGTACCACAGGGATGGAGGGACCATGGGGGTGGAGGGACCACAGGGATGGAGGGACCATGGGGATCTGGGGGTACCATGGGGATGGAGGGACCACGGGGATGGAGGGACCACGAGGATCTGGGGGTACCATTGGGATGGAGGGACCACGGGGACGTGGGGGTACCATGGGGATCTGGGAGTACCACGGGGAACCATGAGGGTGTGGGGGTACCATGGGGATGGAGGGAGCACAGGGATGGAGGGATCACGGGGACATGGGGGTACCATGAGGGTGGAGATACCATGGGGATGTGGTGGGTACCACGAGGACATGGGAGGATGCTGGGGGGGGGTTCTCGGGGGTCCCCACCTGTTGGCTGCAGGTGGGGGTTGCGCAGGGCCACGCTGATGTCCGTCAGCAGCCGGGGCAGTGGGCCCAGCTTCAGCAGGGCCTCCTGGGGGGGACAGGTCAGCCACGTGTCCCAGACACCCCCCAGCACCCCAATGACCTCTCATGGTAGGACACGGGGGGCTGGGACCCCAATGACCTCCCCATAGGTGTTGAGGGGTGGATGGGACCCCAGTGACCTCCCATGGTGGCACATGGCGGGGCTGGGACCCCAATGGCCTCTCATGGTGGGACACGGGGGGCTGGGACCCCAATGACCTCCCATGGTGGCACATGGGGGGGCTGGGACCCCAATGACCTCCCCATGGGGGTTAAGGGGTAGATGGGACCCCTAATGACCTCTCATGGTGGCACATGGGTGGATGGGACCCCCAATGACCTCCCCGTGGGGGTTGAGGGGTTGATGGGACCCCAATGACCTCCTGTGGTGGCACATGGGGGATTGGGACCCCCAATGACCTCCCCTCATGGGGCAGGGGTGGATAGGACCCCAAAATACCCCTCCAGGGGCACCCAGATGTCCAAGATGCCAAAACCTCCACCAGGGAGAACTTCAAGCATCTGGGCCCTTGATCACCACCCAGGAGAAGACCCATGTGTCCAGGTGACCCCTCCCCACCCTGGGTGTCCCAGGTGCCCGGGGTACCTTGCTGAGCTGGGACATGACCTCCCAGAGGAGGGCATGCAGGGTGGAGAGCTCGCGGCCCAGGTCAATGTAGCCCTCGAAGCTGGTGCTGTTGGTGAGGGTGTCCAGGTTGGAGATCTCGTAGAGGAACTGCTGCATGCTGGTCCACTCCAGCTCCAGGAACTCGTTCATGAAGGCCATGTACTCCTCCTTGCTGCCAAACCTGCGGGCGGGCGCTCAGCAGGGTCCCCACTGTCCCCCTCCCCCGGCCTTGTTTACCACCCTTTGAACCTTCTGTTCCTCAAGCTTCCAGGTGTCCCTTCGTAAAGCCACATCTGACCTTCATCCAGATCTTCCATCCATTTGTTCTCCATCCATCCATGCTTCCGCCCAACTCATCCATCCACCCACTCATCTGTCCATCTTCTGCCCATCTTCTTGCCCACCCACCCACTCATCCATCCATCTGCTGCCCATCTTCTGCCCACTCACCCATTCATCCATCCCTCTTCTGCCCATCCATCCATCATCCACCTCTCTGCCAGCTCATCCATCCATTTTCTATCTTCTGTCCATCCACCGACTCATCCATCCATCCATCCATCCATCCATCCATCCATCCATCCATCTTCCGTCCCTCATCCATCAGCTCCTCTTGTCCACCTCACATTCATCTTCTGTCAGCTCACCCGTCCGTCTTAGCTCCATCTCTCCATCCTCCTTCCAACTCATCCATGTCAACCCATCCATCTTCCACCCATCAGCCGTTAACTCATCCACCTTCTGCCCATCAACTCATCTGCCCTTTCTCTGTCCGTCCTTCCACCTTCTGCCCATCCATCAACTCAGCCATCCAACCAACCATGAACCCACCCAAGCTCCATCCACCCATGGACCTACAGCTCCACCTTCCCCCCACCATCCCTCCATTCTCCTCCCCGCTGGGCACTCACTTGGTGAAGTTGGCCAGGTTCTGGATGACCTTGGCGATGAGGGTGAGGGTGCGGGCAGTCTGCTCGTCGGGGTACTCTTGCATGAGGCCGAAGAGGCTGGGGGACATCACGGCGGGGCAGAGGAACCGCAGGAAGAGCGAGGCGCTGATCAACCGGTCGGCGATGTCCTCGCGGCCCCGCTCAGCACATCGCAGCCGCCATGAGGCGAAGACCTCCTTCAGCTCCCGCGGGAACACGCTGCGGCGGTGGGGGAGGGGACGGACACGGTCAGGGACCAGCGGTGGGGACATTGGGGGATGTCCCCAGCCCCAAGGACTCACCAGTGCGAGTTGACCACCTTGCAGAGGGCGAGCTCGCAGCACATGCGGAGGTTGGCCTGGTGGTCAGCCAAGGTGGAGGCCGAGCACTTCATGGGGTCGACCTCGCAGTTCTCCTCCGACTCGTACAGCGCCCGGATGAACTCGCCTGTGCGGGGACGGGGACGTCAGAGGGGACCGGGGACCACCGCACTGTCCCACAGCCAAACCACCTCAATGGGGACATAGCCATGAGAAGGAACCACCCAACCATCTCATGACCATGCCAAAGGGGACACAGCTGTGAGAGGGGACCACCCAACCATCTCAAGGCCATGCGAAGGGACCACCCAACTGTCCAGTGGTCATGAGAAGGGATCACCCAACCATATCATGGCCATGCCAAAGCGGACCACCCAACTGTCCCATGGTCATGAGAAGGGATCACCCAACCATATCATGGCCATGCCAAAGGGGACACAGCCATGAGAAGGGATCACCCAATAGTCCCATGGCCATGCAAAGGGACCACCCAACCATCTCAAGGCCTTGAGGAGGGACCACCCAACCATCTCATGACCATGCCAAAGGGGACACAGCCATGAGAGGGGACCACCCAGCCATCCTATGGCCATGAGAAGGGACCACCCAACTGTCCCATGGTCATGAGAAGGAACCACCCAACTGTCCCATGGTCATGAGAGGGGACCACCCAACCATCCCATGGCCACGCCCATGGGGATGTCTTCATGTGTGGGGACCTCCCCCTGTCCCATGGCCATGCTGGGATGGCCCTGGACGTGACAGGGACCCCTGGCCATGATGGGGACCACCCCCAGTGCTGGTGGAGCTCACCGATGGCGTCCTTGAGGTATTTCTGGCCGATGAGTTTCAGGTACTCCTCTATGGCTTTCGTGGCGAGGGTGTTTTCCCGGAAGATCAGGTGCTCCCGGTCCATGAAGCGATCCACCTCCGTCATGGCCATGTCCGACAGGAAGTCCTGCCCACGGCCATCAGGGCGGCCCAATGCCTGCCTGCGCCCCAGCAGCCTGGCCAGGCTGGCCCAGCCCACCCTCTGTGCTTCCTGGTGTCCTGCCTCCACCTTCTGTCCTCCACCCATCCCTCCATCCATCCATCATCCACATGTCCTCCACCCATCCCTCCATCCATCCGTCGTCCATCTGTCCTCCACCCATCCCTCCATCCATCTGTCCTCCACCCATCCCTCCATCCATCCATCCTCCCCCCACCCCCATTCCAGCCTCTGTCCTTCCATCCTCCATGCCTGTCCTCCGTCTGTCCTCTCTCCCTTCTCCATCCACCCACCCATCCTTCATCCATCCCCCAGCTCTCTGCCCATTCTCTTCCCTCCCTCCCCCACCCATGCTTCTCTCGTCTCTCCACCCCCCGCCACAGCCTCCATCCATCCTGGACCCTCATCCAACCTTCCATCTGTCCCCGTCTGTCCATCCTGCTCCACCCATCCTCCTTCCCTTCATCCACCCACCCGTCCTCCATCCCTCTGTCCTCCACCCCTCTGTCCTCCATCCACCCTCCCTCTGGCTTCTGCCTGCCTCCCAGCTGTCTGTCCATCCTGCTCCATCCGTCCTTCCTCCCTCCTCCCATCCTTCCTTCCAGCCAGCCTGCATCTGTCTGTCCATCATCCATCCATCATCCGTCCATCTGTCCATCCTCTAGCCATCATCCATCCATCCATCCATCAGCCAGCCTCCATCCTTCCATCCATCCTGCATCTGTCCATCCTCCATCCTCCTTCCATCCATCTTCTATCCTTCCATCCTGCATCTGTCCATTTCCATCCATCTTCCATCCATCCTCCATCCATCCAACCTCCTTCCATCCATCCATCATCCATCCATCCATCCTGCGTCTGTCCATCATCCAGCCAGCCTCCATCCATCCTCCATCCTGCATCTGTCCACCTTCCATCCATCCATCTGTCCATCCATCCTGCATCTGTCCATCATCCATCCTCCTTCCGCCATTCCATCCATCCTCCTTCCATCCATCCTCCATTCCATCCACCAGCCAGCCAGCCTCCATCCATCCTTCCATTCTGCATGTGTCCATCATCCATCATCCTTCCACCCATCCTCCTTCCATCCATCCTCCATCCATCCATCCTCCATCCATCCATCATCCATCATCATCCATCATCTCATCCATCCATCCATCATCCATCCATCCATCCATCCATCATCCATCATCCATCCATCATCCGTCCATCCATCATCCATCATCCATCCATCATTCATCCATCACCCATCCATAATCCATCATCCATCCATCATCCATCCATCATCCATCCATCCATCATCCATCCATCATCCATCCATCCCTCCATCCCTCCATCATCCATCATCCATCATTCATCCATCATCCATCATCCATCATCCATCATCCATCATCCATCATCCATCCATCATCCATCATCCTTCTATCCATCCTCCATCCATCCACCCTCCCTTCCTCCCCCCCCCCACCCATCCATCCTCTGTCCATTCATCCATCCTCCTTCCATCCATCCATCCTCCTTCCATCCTTCCTTCCATCCATCATCCATCCATCATCCATCATCCAACCATCCATCCTCCCATCCATCCATCATCCATCATCCATCCATCATTCATCCATCCCCCATCCACCCACCCCCTCACCTTAGCCTTCCCTGTGCTCTGCAGGATGTGCACCAAAGCGCAGGCCACCTCCTCCTTGCTCTTGACGCTGAGCACGGGTTCCAAGACGGCGCAGAGCATCCGGTAATTGTTGGTGACGTACTCGGCGAACTCCTTGTAGAGCTCCATGGGGAGGATGCTCATGGTCTGGAAGCGGCTCTTGACGCGTAGAGCGGGACAACCCGCCTTGCTCTTGCTGCCGCTGGGCTGGCTGAGGGGGTACCACTGCTCGGCAAAGTGCCGGCCGGTGACGCTGGCGATGGGGATGCTCACCATCCCCACGTAGTTGCTCTTGTCCTTCTTGCGTTTCTTGTCGGTGTCCTTGTAGAGGTGGAGGCGGATGGTGCGGACGGCCGGCAGGTTGTTGAACTCGAAGTGTTCGCCCCAGAAGACGTTGTCGGTGCGCGCCTTGCTGGTGGTGCGGGCGTAGAGCATGTCGTCCAGGCACAGCTCGCAGTAGTAGCGCTTCTTGGGGGGGAGGTCTCGCGCCTCGATCACCCACAGCTTCAGGACGTTGTCCACCCGCCGGCTGTTGTCCTGTGGAGGG